TTTGGGATTGTGATCTGGATTAGGGAACTGAGATTAGGATTATAATTGGAGAATTAGGATTTGGGATTTAGGATTGAGGATTAAGGATTGGCATAATGGTTTAAGTTTAGGGAATCTGGCATTAGGATTAGGGAGCTGGATTAGGGATTTTGATTATGGTGATATAGGATTAGGGATTAGGGAAAGGGGATTTAGGGATTAGGATTGACATTTAGGATTAGTTTGTTTTTCTTTTTTTTTTTTTTTGGGGGGGGGGTTAGGATTTTTTTAGGATTAGGAAATTTAGGACATTTTGAAATATCTAGGATTAGAGATTAGGAAAAAAATAGGATTGAAATTTAGGATTTGGGAGTCGGATTTTAGGATTTGGGATCAGATCAGATACAAGGAATAGGAAATTTAGGATTAGGATTAGCAATATAGAAATTGGATTAGAATTCAGGATTTGGATCATGAATCTAGGATTTAGATTAGGAATATAAATTTGGATTAGGAATCTAGGATTTGCATTAAGAATATAAGTTTGGATTAGGGATGTAGGATTTGGATCAGGAATATAGATTTGGATTAGGAATATAGGATTTGGATTAAGAATATAAATTTGGATTAGAAAATAAGGATTTCAAATGGGAATTTAGGATTCCTGAGGTAGAACCTTCGACCCTGTTATTAAGAACCTGTATAATTAGAGGGAATAATCTATAAGGATTAAAGACTTATCAGGGATTTAAGATTTGGTTTGTTTTGTTTGTGATGTTTTGTTTACATGAGTCAATGATGTTTTTTCTTTTGATTTATGTAAATAGATAAATGAATAGATAAATAAATACGTGTATATATAATTCCTTATTTTCTTTTCTTTTTCTCTTTCTCTGCTAATCTGTATTTTACTTTTCCTTTCTTACTGATTTATCTTTTTTTCTATCTGTCTGTCTCTCTTTTTCTCTTCTTCCTCTTCTATATCTTTATTTCCCATTCACACTTCTCTCTTTCTTCTTTCCTTCCCGAAGAATAAATAAGTAAATAAAAATAGCAATAGAGAGAATAGGGTCGATAGATAAATAAATACAAAATGTAATCAATAGACAAATGACTGAACGAATGAATTAATCAATAAACAGATAAATAAACATAAACAAATAACCAAACATACAAATAAACAAAAACAAAAAAACAGAAACAAATGAAAAACAAAAAAATAACAAAGGAAACAAATACACAAAAACAAAAAAACAGAAACAAATCAAGAACTAAAAACAAAAAACAAATGAAACAAGCAGACAAATAAACAAAAAAACAAAACAAAAAACAAATCAAGAGCTGAAAGACAAAGGAAACAAGAGAAAAACAAAAGAATAAATAGATTCCGCCAAGACTGCCTGAGATTTATTTCTTTTATCGCCGTCTGTTGTGACTTTATTATCGGGCTTGGCATAAACATTGATGGCGCTCGGCAGAGAGAAGGAGAGAGAGAGAGAGAGAGAGAGAGAGAGAGAGAGAGAGAGAGAGAGAGAGGGTGGGGGGGTGGGGGGGTATTGGGGGAGACAGAATGAGAGGGAAGAAAGAGAGAAAAGGAGAGAGAGAGAGAGAGATAGAGAGAGGGAGAGAGAGAGAGAGATAAGGGAGAGAGAGAGGGGGAGAGAGAGAAAGAGAGAGAGAGGGGGGGGGGGTATTGGGGGAGACAGATAGAATGAGAGGGGAAAGAAAGAGAGAAAAAGGAGAGAGAGAGAGAGAGAGATAAGGGAGAGAGAGAGAGAGAGAGCGAGAGCGAGAGAGAGAGAGAGAGAGGGGGGGGGGTATTGGGGGAGACAGATAGAATGAGAGGGAAAGAAAGAGAGAAAAGAGAGAGAGAGAGAGAGAGAGAGATAAGGGAGAGAGAGAGAGAGAGAGAGAGAGGGGGGGGGGTATTGGGGGAGACAGATAGAATGAGAGGGAAAGAAAGAGAGAAAAGAGAGAGAGAGAGAGAGAGAGATAAGGGAGAGAGAGAGAGAGAGATGGAGAGAGAGAGAGAGAGAGAGCGAGAGAGAGAGAGAGAGATAAAGGGGTGAGATTGAGAGACGTACTGGCTCGACAAGATTGTTTTATGCGAAGGACATTCGGAGGAATAGGGGTGGGGGGGGGGGGTAGAGTGAGGGAGGGGAAGGGCGAAAGTGGAGGAATAGGGGAAAAGAAGAAGGAAGAGAAGAAGGTGGATATATGATAAGTCCTCAAGTGGCATGAGGAGGAGGAAGATAAAAATGGAAGAAGGAGAGGAGGAAAAAAAAAAGAAAAAAAAAGGGGGGGAAGAGGGATAGAATTAAAGACCTGAAATGATAAAAAGGGAAGAGAAAGGAAACAAAAGAGAAAGAGGAAGATGGAGGAACTACAAGTGACAGGCGAGCAGAAGGAAGAGGATGAGAATGAAGAAGATGAAAAGGAAAGAGGTTATGACTTGATTAACATACCAAAGAGACAAGACAAATAGAGGGAAAGAGGGAAAAGGACGAATCAGAAGAAGAAGAAGAGGAGGAGGAGAATAGGGTAATAAGGGAGAGACGTTGAAACTCAAACGACAGAAATAGAAGAAGAGTGGAACAAAGAAGAAAAAAAAAGACAGAATGATAGATAAAAAATACGAAAGAGAGAAGGCATAAATAAAGAGAGAAAAGGACAAACCAGAAGAAGAAGAAGAGGAGGAGGAGGAGAATAGGGGAATAAGGGAGAGATGTAGAAACCTCAAACGACAGAAAGAGAAGAGGGGAACGAAGGAAAGAAAAAAAAGAGGGAACGATAGATTAAAAACACGAAAGAGAGAAGACATAAACAAATAAAAGGGAATAGACTAAAAGGACGAACCAGAAGAAGAAGAAGAGGAGGAGGAGGAGGAAGAGGAGAATAGGGGAAGAGAGAGAGAAGGCAAAGACCTCCTCATGCGTCACTCGGATCCCCCGACAGCCAACCCCGAGGGCACATAACATCTTGAGGGGAAGGGCCACCTTTGAGCTCGTCCTTGAGACCAGGATGATGGAAGCTTCTGGAAACGATCTTCGAGGAGATTACGTCACTAACTTGCGTCGCGGGGGATTTTCTTTTATTTTCTTCTTCTTTCTTTTTTTTACCTTTTTTTTTCTTTCTTATATATACATATGTGTGTATGATACGCTGGGACTAGGGAGGGATTTCTATTTATGATTTTCAATCTTGTCTTTGAGTCTTTTTTTTTTGGGGGGGAAGACTAAGGAAGAGATGTCGAAAAGATGTAGTTTTTATTTCCCCTTTTTTTCTCTCTCTCCTAAAGGCGATCTGATGCGATTTGATAAAATCAGAAACTTATTATTATTATTCTCTTTTTTTTTACGATACAGGATTGAAGACCTTGGTATATTGTATGGGCGGAAAGGGGGGGGGGGAGGGGGAGGGGAGGGAGGGAGGTAAATTGCACTCAACAACATCTGTATGAATTCTCATCAAAACTGGAGAAAAGGATAATGACGTTTTTATAACTTTTTCTATCAGGGAATGTGCTTATAAAATTGCCTTATATGGTATTGGTGAAATGGTTATACTCATATTCAGACATACAAACGCAAATATATATATATATATATATATATATATATATATATATATATATATATATATATATATATATATATATATATATATATGTATATATGTATATATATACATGTGTATATATATATATATATATATATATATATATATATATATATATATATATATATATATATATATATATATATATATATATATATATATATATGTATATATATATAATATATATATATATATATATATATATATATATATATATATATATATATATATATATATATATATATATATATATACATATATATATATATATATATATATATATATATATATATATATATATATATATATATATATATATATATATATATAAACATACATACATATATGTATATATATAAGTATGTATGTATGCATATATATATTTAAATATATCTATATATATTTATATATATATATATATCTATATATCTATATCTATCTATATTTATTTATATTTATATATCTATATATCTATATCTATCTATCTATCTATCTATCTATCTATCTATCTATCTATCTATCTATCTATATATATATATATATATATATATATATATATATATATATATATATATATATATATATATATATATATATATATATATATATATATATATATATATATATATATATATATATATATGTATATATATATATATATATATATATATATATATATATATATATATATATATATATATATATATATATATATATATATGTATATATATACGTATACATATATATATACTCTCTCTCTCTCTCTCTCTCTCTCTCTCTCTCTCTATATATATATATATATATATATATATATATATATATATATATAGAGAGAGAGAGAGAGAGAGAGAGAGAGAGAGAGAGAGAGAGAGAGAGAGAGAGAGAGAGAGAGAGAGAGAGGGAGAAAGAGTCCGACAAAAGATCAAAACATTTTAAAAATCAAAAGTAATTTATGAATAATTCTTGACCTAGATTCCATACTTTTTCATCTTTTTTTTTACAATTCTTACAAAATGAAATAAATTTTCGATTCCAAGTCACTGTGAATATGTAGAAAATAACAAAGCTCATAAACTTTTCTTTCAGTTTCGTTTGAACATTGATTACGATAATGATGTAGATGCAAGCAATTCCTAATGAAAATCATTGCAGTATTTGTACAGACGATGATAATGAGAGCAATTTTATGTTCCTTCTGGATCTGTTCTTCTTATGATATTGATATCTCCTTCATAATGAATATAATTTGCATATATTTTCTGCGAGAAAGCAATGACCAAGCCCCCTCTCTTGCTTTAAAAAAAACAAAAAAACTCCAAATTATGTGATGTTGCATGTACTGAACAAGAGGAGATTTCTCGGGAAAGGAACGAGTCGCTTCATGGTTTTAATGCATACTGATGTATAATGTTAGTGG